ATTTTTTTTCAGTAGAGACAGGGTCTCGCTCTTGCTCAGGCTGGTCTCGAACTCCTGAGCTCAAATGATCCACCCGCCTCGGCCTACCAGAGTGCTAGGATTACAGATGTGAGCCACTGCACCCGGCCAGTTTTAAATTATTTTAAAACAGGATACAATATATGGGGTTTGGCTCGGTAGCAGTTTGGCTATAATCTCAGCACTTTGGGAGGCAGGCATGGGAGGATTGCTTGAGGCCAGGAGTTTGAGCCCAGCCTGAACAATATAGCGAGACCCCATCACTACAAAATACAAAAATAAAAAATTAACCAGGTGTGTGGCATGCACTTGCAGTCTCAGGTACTTGGGAGGCTGAAGCAGGAGGATCATTTGAGCCTGGGAGTTTGAGGCTGCGGCGAGCTATGATGATGCCACTGCACTCCAGCCCGGGGTGACATAGCAAGACCCTGCCTAAACAAACAAACAAACAAACAAAAGCCCACAAGAAGCCTTGACAATATATAGGGTTCATTCTCTCTGTCCTTTACCTCGTAGGAAAGAAGAGGAGGAGCGAAGGCGGCGTGAAGAGGAAGAAAGAGAGCGTCTACAAAAGGAGGAAGAGAAACGTAGGAGAGAAGAAGAGGAAAGGCTTAGACGAGAGGAAGAAGAAAGGAGGCGAATAGAAGAAGAGAGGCTTCGGTTGGAGCAACAAAAGTAAGCTTGTATGGCTTATATTTAAAAATGAGAAAAGGACCACCATACTGTTGTTATTTGACTTTTTGCCATTGTGTGCCTTAGAATAGTTCTGTGATTTGTATGACAGGGAGGTAGAATGAGCTACTTGCCATTTTTACCAATGATCTGTTACCAAAGAGGGCCTTATCATAACAAACCATCAGTTAGTTGCAAAAAGAGGAATGTATTGGAAAGACTTGGGATTTGCTTGTAGAACCCAGGGACTGGAAGCAGGAGCTGAGGTTTCTCAGGTGCTTTCTTTGTCTCTTGTCTTTGCTTCTCTCAGCTTATGTCTCTGCTTTGTTCTTCCTGCTCTTTGCAAATTGTCACTGTCTGCTTTGGCATATGCAAGGCTATCCCAGCCTGGATTTATGTGGTCTGTTTTCATGCATCTGATGGAGACTGGCTGGAATCTATAAGACCCAGTTACAAATACCCAGGACAGAGAATCTCATTGGCCCAGTCTATGTCAGCTGTCCATTCATAGTCCCTAGTACAGGACTTGGAGGCCGAAACTATTTCTGATTCAGTAGGGTCTGTAAGAGCTGCCGTCTCAGTAGGGACTGACTAGCTCTTCTCGAGGGAGCAGTGGGTACAAGAAGGCAGTGATTAACACCCATAAAACACTGAGGGAACAAGATCTGCTGTTCTAGGGGTGGCACAGCTTACAGGTTAAACTGGAGAACATGAGGGACCATTGATTTCTCCTCTTTATTTCTGGGTAGTTCTGCAGTAAAAGCTTCAGTCCTAGCCTCAGACTAATCCAGGGCCTCATTCAGTTTTGGAGGGAGACCTTGAATGCTGCTCTTGTCGTAGGTGGGGATGGAGGATGTCCTAGGTGGACCCAGTGTCATGCTGTATTCATGAGTTTGTGAGCTTTTGCTTTGTTATCTATTTATTAATAGATGGCTTTGAGGTCTTTGTTAAGTTGTTCACATAACTGAGTTAAGAAACATGTTTATCTATAAAAGAAAATAAAAGAGGATTATAATAGCTTACAGAAATTAGTATCTCTAAACCAAATATGCCCAGATAATATTTTCAGTATTTCTTCTTTAAGGCAGACTGTAAATTAAATGCTGTGGACCTTCAAATTTTCACTGGCTTTATTTATACTTACCAGGGACGCCCATAACATCTTTTAACTATTCTTCTGCCTCTTAATGTTTTTCTTGTGTTTAGGTAGAGAAGCCATAGCCAACAGTTAAATAAATACCTCATCTCTGACCGGGCATGGTGGCTCTCGCCTATAATCCTAGCACTCTGGGAGGCCGAGGTGGGTGGATCATTTGAGCTCAGGAGTTCGA